CTACAGGCTCAGGAGGCCCACCCAAGTCTGAGCAGGAACACAACACTTCTGAATTCCCCTCACTTACCTTCCCCACTGTGTCTGGAGGCTGCTATTGGTCTTCAGTGGTCCAGGTAAGAGTCTAGCTAGTTCTAGCCCAGATCAATGGATTTTTCTCTTCTTTGCACTATGTGTTCATTATCACTTTTGTGTGTGTGTGTGTGAGTTGTGGGATATGCTGCTGGCTGGTTCCTCTCTGGGTACTGAGCAAACTCCATCTTGTTTTATTCCGTGGAGAAATACACTCTAGCTGCCTCATGTTGGTCACCTTAACTTGGGTCTCCAGAGATATTTTTGCTAGGTATAGAATTCTACATTAGCATTTTTTTCTTTCAGCACTTTAAAAATGTTACTCCATCATCTTCTGGCTTCCCTGTTTTATCATGAAAAGTCTACTATAGTTCTTTTTCTTTTTTTTTTTTGAGTCAGAGTCTCGCTGTTGCCCTGGCTGGAGTACAGTGGCTTGCTCAGGACCACTGCAGCCTCAATCTGCTAGGCTCAGGCAATCCAAAGCCTCAGCTTTCTAAGTAGTTAGAACCATAGGCAAGAGATGAGGTCTCACCAAGTTGTCCATGCTGGTCTCAAACCCCTGGGCTCAGGCAATCCTGTTGCCTCCACCTCCCAAAGTGCTGGGATTACAGGTGTGAGCCACTGTGCCTGGCCTAATTCTTATCTTTGTTTCTCTATATGTAATGTATATTTTCCCCCTGGTTGCCTTCAAAATTTTCTCTTTATCTTTGGTTTTCAGAAGTTTTAAGATGCTATTATAGGCATATTTTTGTTATTTTTCCTGCTTGGTGTTCTTTTAGTTTCTTGGGTCTATGGTGGTGTTTGTCATTAATTTTGGAAAATTCTTAACCATTCTCTTTAAAAATGTGTTTTGTCTTGCTTTCTTTCTCTTCTCCTTCTGGATTTATATTTACACAGAACTTAGACTGTTTGATATTGTCCCACAGCTCTTAGATGCTCTGTTCTGTTTCCCACCCCCTTTTCTCTTTGTGTTTCATTGGTATTTCTTTTTCTTTTTTTTTTTTTTTTTTTTTTGTTTGTTTGTTTGAGTTGGAGTCTCACTCCATCGCCCAGGCCTGAGTACAGTGGCACACTCACAGCGACCCCTTCTGGGCTCCGGTGATCCTTCTACCTCAGTCTTCCAAGTAGCCAGAACTACAGGCATGTGCTACCATTCCTGGCTAATTTTTTTATTTTTATTGTAGAGATGAGATCTCACCATGTTGCCCAGACTGGTCCTGAACCTGCAGGCTCAGGCATTCCTCTCACCTTGGCCTCCCAAAGTGCTGGAATTACAGTCTTGAGCCACCACGATCAGCCCATTGATATAATTTCTAAAGACCTGTCTTAATGGTCACAGATTTTTTGCTCAGCTGTATAAAGTCTACTGACCAGCCTTATGAAGACATTCTTCGTCTCTATTATTGTGTTTTTTTCATGTCTAGGATTTTCATTTCTTTCTTAGAAATTTTTTCTCTCCACTGAAATTAACTACCAAATCCTGCACAGTATCCATCTTTTCTAGTAGAGTCTTATTAATCAGTTATTTTAAACTTCTCATCTGACAGTTTCGACACCTGTGTCATATCTGAGTCTTGTTCTGTGAATTGCTTTATCCCTTATCAGTAAGAAAATTATAGGTTTTGTTGTTGTTGTTGAAATCCAGACATCTTGAGTGGGAGCGTAAAGACTGGTGAATCTCTTTTATTCCTGGAAACAGGCATGCCTTTCCTTTTGCTAGGTCTTTAGTGTCTGGGTTAGAATCAGTCTTACTTGTCAGGACAGCTGGGGTGGTCACCCCTCTCCCCAGATCCAGGGATATAGAGACTGCCTAACACAAAGGCTTAACCAGAGTGACAAGAACACCATCTTTAGTGTATCTGGTGTGTGTTGCCCCACCCCACCTTCTGCAATATAAACTTTTGTTTCTTAGTAGAAATGGAAGACAAATATTCACAAAGGACACTTTCTCAGAATTTTTGCCAGTCTTTCTCTGGGAGCACCAGGTTAGGTCCTATGGAAAGGACCTGAAAGTGCACATGACGTTGTTTTACATCTTAAGTCCCCAGGGCTCTGTATCATTTCACTAGCAGCACTCTTCCTTTACCAATTTAGCCATTTTAGCTGAGTTCTAAATTCAGCTGAGTCAGCCCTTTTAAGCTCATGTCTGGCTCTCCCTGGAGGCTCTTGTCTTTCCTTAGTCTTGGGGTGAATTGGTTCCTCTGTGACTTCAGCTCTCTGGTGGTTAAAGACAAGTTGTGAATTTTCAGTTTGTTTGACTTGGTGTAATGGTGGAAAATGCTCTTACAGCTTTTCACATCCTAATCCTAAACAGAAACCAGGAATCTCCACTCTGTTTTGGGAAATAAATATTTAAAATATGTCCAGGCTAGTTTGAGATGGTGCCTAGATGATTCCAGGCTAAAAGACAGGAGGGAACTCTTTAAAAAAAAGAAAAAGAAAACAACAAACAAAAAACACCTTTCCATGCTTATTTTTAAAAGTAGTTGCTGTTCTTGACATTTGCCGGCAGAGGGCAACCTGCCGTGCGGCTACCCTCCTGGCTAAGATCAGGTTTCCAATAGGGAAAAGTCATCATGTACAGTAAGAGGCAGAGGCTGTTTTACAGCCTCCCTGGGATCTCGGGGCAATGCAGCTCCAGCCCTCACTACAGTGGGGAAGCTGATCCCCTGTAGAGAAGATGCCTTCCTTACAGCCCCTGAGAGTCTTCAGTTGTGAGCACGTCTATCCTCGGAGCCTCTCTCAGTACCTGGCCTTCACCTCACCAAGAGTGACGCTGAGAGACTGCCAGGACCTTCCAGGTGGCAGACACCAGCGCTTCTGAGTGTGTTCCAACAGTGTGCTCAAGCTGTGGGCACCCAGGGGACCAGTTCCAGCCCAGCTGTGGAAGAAGTTCCCAAGAGACCCACGGTAGGGAGGTGAGGGTATGAGGCTATGGTGTTGTCCTGGCTGTAGTGGTTTATCTGAAACACACACACCAGAACCATAGTGGCTTAACCATAGAGACTGGGTTCCCACACAAAGTAAAAAGCAGGAGTTCCTGATTGGCAGGCAGCCCTTCTCCAAGTGGGGACCCACAGTCTTCTGCAGGTGCCAGGGACAGAGAGGAGTGGGGAGAAGTTCCCATGCCTTATATCACCCAGCACTTCCCAGCTTGCCTCTGCTCATACCCACGGGGCAGCCAGGCACCTGTTCCCTCCAGAATGCTGGGGGAGGCTGGGGAAGGGGCTGGGCAGATGCTTTCCAGTGGTAACTCTGCCCTGGGAAGGACCTGAAATTCCCCAGTAGCATCCACAGGAACTGCTTCTGATTATTATTGTTATAGAACGGTATTTTCCAAATTTGCCTGATTTTAAGAACCATGGGGATGCTTATGTCAAATGTGGGTCTCAGGTCCTTTTCCTGGACACTCTGGTCTGGCCCATCTGTGCATGGGGGCCTAGAACTCCAGGGAGCTGCACTGCTCTCAAAAAGTCTGAGAAGCAACATCAACAGGGAGAGACTCCCCCACTGCCCGCCCCACAAGGATGCCAGGCCAACCCCCTCTGTCTGTGTGGTGACTCGTGGAACCAGGCCGCTGGGCATCACTGAGGGAGGCTGTCCCTGAGCTAGCCCGGCAGCCCTCCCCGGGTGTGTCTCCCCTGGAAAGGGTGGCCAAGTCAAGGCAGACACAGCAGGCTGCAGCCAAGGCAGGCCTAGCCGCCCTGACCGCCCATACCAGAGCACTGTGCTGCCCAGTCCCAAGCCAGAGTGATGAACATCTCGGAGCTGGTCAGTGGTCAGCAAAGCTGACTTTTCCTTATATAGGCCTAGGGAGGGAGGAGTAGAACAGATTGTGGTCATGTTTTCTCTTTAACAACACTGGAGGGCAGCACTGAGTCAACTGTTCCCGTTTCTCAGTAGATCAGCTATTAGTGGCATTCGATCTTGGACTACGTGTATTTACTTGCCTTTCTATTCTTGTGGCGCCCTTGCCACCAATTAGGGGCAGTCTGCTCCAGCAGAGCAGCAGAGCCGCTGGCTGGGGCCTGGGTTGTGCTTCTCTGCTGTGACTCCTGTGAGAGAGGCGGGCAGGAACGCCATTGGAGCCCACAGAGGAGGCTGCGGCTCGCTCAGAGGGCAGGACCGGGGATGCCACCTCCCACTTCTTCCCGCTCCCTGCGTCTGACAACACCCTTAGGAGGAGTTGGCCGTTGTCATGAGGGACTCCTCTTACTGGGTCCTGCAGTGGCTCAGAAGCGCCTAGATGACCCCAAACCTGCAGACAGCCCCCTCCACCTCAACCTTTCTGGGGTGGGCCAGGATCCCCACCAGTGGGATGTGTCACTCAAGAGGTTTTGTAATGAATCAGTCCCTCTGAGAAATGACCAGTGGTCACTCCTCACCACAGCCCCCCCTACACGTGACTGCCTCAAGAGGATCCCTGGCCTCGCCGCCTTCCGCCTGCTGTACACCCTCCCAGGGTTCACCACTACCTGACATGAGGAGGTGTTGGTTAACCTGCTTGTCTGTCCCTGTGGGCGGGGCCCTGAGGGTCCGCAAGTCCCAGGCCCTGATCCAGACTCTGCATGAAACCACAAACCAGCAGAGCTCAGCCACACCCTTGCTCGCCTGGCTTGCACGCTCAGGAGGGTCCTCAGAAACAGCAGAAGCAGCAACATCCTTTTCCCACCCAATGCCCGATGGAATATCTGCAATGGGACAGACCCAGAGAGCCCCGAGTCCAGGTGATGCTGCCAGCTGCTCTTCAGTATTCATGATGAAGAGGAAACATTAACAGCCAACAGTGTTTTTGCAACCCGTGATCTCAATGCTCCTGCTGGCACAGATATTCTGTGTGTATCTCCATCTGATTCCACCTGGCTGTGGAATCCCCTCCTGTCCTGGAGGACTGCTGGGTCTCCCAGCATGGCTCTGTCTCTCTGTTCCAGCCGTGATCCCCCTGACCGACTCCGAGCACAAGCTGCTGCCTCTGCACTTTGCAGTGGACCCTGGCAAGGACTGGGAGTGGGGGAAGGATGACAATGACAATGCACGGTTGGCCAAGTAAGACCCTGAGCTGCCCTCCCCAACACCCTGCAGGGAGGGCTGTCCCTGGGCTTCCTAGGGAAGGGCCGAGGTGCATGCTGGCGGGGGGGGCGCGTGCAAGGCCAGCTGGCCCATTCAGTTTTCCTTTCTTGCAGCCTCATCCTGTCGCTAGAGGCCAAGCTGAACCTCCTGCACAGCTACATGAATGTGACGTGGATCCGGATCCCCTCCGAGACGCGGGTGAGCCTGGCGGGTCCCGGAACCTGATCTGGTGTTGGGGCGAGGCGCTCAGCTCCAGCCTGGCCAGGGCGCACCCTCTCAGGCCCTCCTAAGTGCTTGCCCACCCCAGTCCTGCCTGAAGCCATCCTCGGCCAGGGCCACCCTGGGTGTGGACTGAAATGGCTTTGGTTGCTCTGGATGCATTTGGTTCGTGTGTGCACACGAGTGTAGGCATGTGTGCATGCAAGCATGCGCTCTGGCTAGGGGATTTTCATCCCCATTTTCTGCAGAAGGAGAGGAATAAACACACCCACTCAGAAAACAAACCACAGGCAAGTCACAACACAAAACCATCTCTGTTGAGATCAGAACACAATGTGCTGCCGCAAAGCCAAATTAATTATAAACTGTGTGTGGGTCCTCCAAAAAGCAGGGAACTGAGAATGTGTTTCCTCAGTGGCCCCTCCCCCGCCCAAGGGTGAGTAGAGCTGGCAGGGTGAGGAGGGGTCTGCCCACCCCACCAAGCTCTTGCCCCGGCGGTGTTGGGCTGCCCCTGCTTGCAGATGCTGAGAGGGAATCATTCTAAGAGTCTGACTGATTGATGTTTTCTGTAATCTCTGTAGCAAACTGCCAGGGAAGAGGATCTGTAAAACACTGCTTGCATATAATTGGTCCTCCCCAGACACCAGTGTACTTAGGCAGAGAATGGGGCTCACAAGGAATTATTCAAGGAGAAACAGGAGGGGAGTCGGATGGCAGCAGGTGGAGTCAGCACTGGGTAGTGCTGAGCTCCCAGACCTCAGCCTTACCTGCACTTAATTCCATGGGGCTCCTTCAGGGAGGTACCGACACCCCATTTTATTGATGTCATAAGCAGTCGTGGCAGGTGTGAGTAGGCCTGGGTAGGCAGTGGTGCCATGGCTGTTCTTCCTGGCACCTGTGTGGGGGTGACGGAATCCGGATCTGATATCAGGAGGCTCTGGGGCTGGGCACAGCTCTGCCTTGCAGCGAGCAGCAACCTTTGCCAGGCCCCGTGGCCCACACGACACATGCAGGGCTCCCAGCAGACAACCCTGGCCGGGGTCCCTCCAGCCCACGCTCCTCGCTGCCTGTGCTCCCCATGGGCTCCTCCAAGCACCAGGTATACCGGCCTTCCTGGGTCCAATCTCCGCTCTTTTGTGTCTCTGGCACATGGATCAGAAGGGGAAAGAGAATTTCAGACTGGAAGGAGTGGGGGCTGGATTTGCCCACTTTTGCTCCTGGGTGACCTGGTCACAGGAGGGTCACCATCTCTTGGACCTGCTAGGGGTTGGGGAGAGGACAAAAACAAAATGGGGGAGCAGTGGGCCTTCTCCCAGGCTCCTTCCTTGGAGACCAGGAAAGCCTGTTTGGCTATGAGCACCAGTTCCTGCAGCTGGCATGAGGGGCTCTGTCCTTTGTATCAATGACACTGTCAGAATTGTTTCCTCACCCAGGACGGTCCCTCTGCAAAGCAGCCATAGGTGCTGCCTGTCCTCTGTCCCCCTCCCACTTCCCTTCCCAGACTCCTACCTGCTCCAGATACAGGCCTCGGCCATGTTCTCATGTGGCCTTGCTCCTCCCCCCCACCCCGCCCCCATGGACAGGCCTGATCTAGGGTGTGCACAGATATGTCCCCTGCCAGTGAGGCCCCACACCCCTCAGGAGGCCTTTTTTGGAACGGTAACATCTCTTACTGCTGATCCCAGGCCTATTTCAGAATCCTTCTCCATTTAGCACTCCACATGGCAAAATTGAGAAGGAAACCCTAACATGATTTGTCATTGCTGATTCAGGGACGGGTGTTAAAAGATTTTCTGAATAAAAATTCTTGCCTTGTGAGGGCAAGGTTTCTATCCCCTGCCAGAAGTGAGCGTATGAGACATCTCTGTAGGAGAAACACTTGGATGCAGGTAAACTGTCCTCCCAGCCAGAAGGCCTACACCTATTCAGAGAGGCTGGCCTGGGCCCTGTGCCTGGTCAAGCAGGCAGCCTCACCAGGGCTGGAGGGCCAGAGTCTGGGCCTGACGATTCCAAATCATGCCGAGGCTCTGAGGTTCACAGCTAAGTGAGGCATCTGTACCCTGCCCCACTCCCCAGCAGGGTTCCAGGCTGCCGGCCACCTGCATCCACCAGAGAGCAGGCGAGTGAGCGCAGCCCACCTTCCTCTCCAGGTGGTGCGCGCAGATCAGAGGTCCCACCAGGCCCTCCACAACACCAACAGTAAGCCAAGAGAAACCCTCCTCGCGACACGGGGCAGCTCTGCTCTAACTACCGCTCCTCTGCGCGCTCCTCTCCCCCCACAGGCGCCCCTGGCGCAGCCGGAGTCCCCGACGGCCTCGGCGGGGGAGGACGTGCAGTCCCTGGCCGACTCACTGGACTCGGACCGCGACTCGGTGTGCAGCAATTCCAACAGCAACAACGGCAAGAACGGCAAGGACAAGGACAAGGACAGGCAGCGCAAGGAGAAGGACAAGACGCGCGCGGATTCCGTGGCCAACAAGCTGGGCAGCTTCAGCAAGACGCTGGGCATCAAGCTGAAGAAGAACATGGGCGGCCTGGGCGGCCTGGTGCACGGCAAGATGGGCCGCGCCGGCGCGGCCGGCGGCAAGAGCGGGGACGCGGCCGAGCGCAAGGACAAGAAGGCCAAGGCGCGCAAGGGCAGCAAGGAGGAGTCGGGCGCGTCGGCCAGCACGTCGCCGTCGGAGAAGACCACGCCGTCGCCCACCGAC